TTATTATTATTATTATTGTTTCGTGAAAATATGATTTTAGTAAGAGACCATTATGAATACTTAGCACGGGAACCATTTAATCATTGAGTCACGTGACATAATATAAAACGAAACCAAAACTGAATCAGACAGCCGGAGGTCACAGTTGGTAAGTGTGACTTATTTCAAACGTTGCAAAAAAAGTAAAATAAAAAAGTAATGTTCAAGTAAATGCTTTGAAACAGTAATGTGACAGACCATTAATTTGTTTTGTCTACAAGAAAAACTGTGCTTTTCAGCTAAACTGCAGGGAGCCACAGTTACTGAAGGGGCTGCACTTCTGGCAATTATTGACATTACAAAAGTTTAATTTGTGATGTAAAAACTAGTTTTAATGTTAAACAAACTAATTGGAAAAGTGGATAAATTGTATAGCCATATATAACAGAATTACCTCTCGTGTGGACATATTTGTCATTTCAGATTGTTTTTAAAGTTTCTGAAAAGTTTCTAAGATCTATTAAAAATATAAGTAGGTCCTCTGGATGGGTTCTTCTTTAGTGAAACGTTTCGTCTCTCGTCCAAGAGACTTCTTCAGTCTGATGAGTTTCAGGTGACCTATGCCTTAAGAGCACTTCCTCCACATGGTGGACAAAGAGGCTATGCAACTTATACTTATTTTTTCTTTTTGATTTTTTTCTACCTGGATTACTGAGATGCATCAGGACACTTTCTAAGATCTAGTTTCATTCTGAAAGAACTTATTGGTGGGCCTGACAGAGCCAGGTGAATAGCCCTGATGTAGACTACAAAATAAGCAGAGAGTTCTTCGTACTGAACAGATAGTGAGCCTTAACACAGACTGCTGGTACAAAATTCATTTAGGCAAGTTTATAAAAGTCCAATACGAGGAAGCAACAACAGGCAAAAAGCATTGCAAGATTTTATTATGCATTACCATAGCATGTTAAAAAACACCAATAAATAACAGTCAAATTCAAGCAAGGCAATATTACTGAAAATTAAAATGATTTTAAAATAAACAAACTTGTTCATTATGTCTCAGAACAGGTCAGGATGTCGGTGGAGTTCTCTGGCTGGGAGGTGGTCGACGATGGCGCCTGTTTCCCCGGAGTGTTGCTGGCGCCGTCGCAGACCCCTCAGAACAAGGGCGTCTACACCATGTTCCACGGGACCAGCGTTGCCAGTGCACGTCTCATCGTCGCTGATGGTTTCCAGCCTTCAACGTATGGCACGCTGGGAAGTGGCGTGTACGTGAGCCGTGATATGACAAAAGCATCTCAATACCCATGGAACGTAGGCCCCGGTGACCACGTGATCTTTGAGCTGCGTGTTCGTGTTGGCCGCGTCAAGCGCATCGACCAGAATAACCATCCTTTGCAGTACGCCTGGAGCACACAGGGCTACAACACTGCCTGGATACCCCCCAACTGTGGCGTAACAACCAGCGGCCTGGAGGAGGATTGTGTTTCTGATCCCAAAAGGGTTAAGGTAGTTGGCATTGCAAAGGCACCGAATGCAGCGATAGAAAAGGAGCTTCTAGACCTTCTTGCAAAAGCATCTAAAAAGTCTAATGGAGGAGCTGGTGGCTCAACACCTACATGTTCTCTGTGTAAGAGAAAGACCCAGCAGGGAGTTCCTCATAATAACCAGAAGTGCTGGAAGTGTGGGCAAACCATCTGTATTCTCATGTCCAAGCATTTCTGTCATTGATCCTGAGAGAACGTTAAGAATGACGTCTGCTAGAAAATGGAAATGGGACAATATCATTCCTGGTAATTGTGTTTTATATTAGATGCATATAAATAAAACAACATATTAGTCAGTTTAAGGATATAATTATATTTAAAACATTCTTTTTCTGTCCCGATTCTCCTTTCCGGGTTGCAAGGAGCTGCTGCCTACCTCCAGCTGTCACTGTGTGTGAGGCTGGGTACAACCTGGACAGGGAATATTCTTTTATCATCAATAATCTCAAGACTGATAAGGTTTTAGGTGCACCTCCCTCTAAGTTGGATGTTTACAGTAACAAAAAGGTTACAGTGCTGTTAATTCGTGATACTTTTTACTACTGACATCGTGGAAGTGAAGACGATACATTTGTTAACGTATCCTCCAAATAAAGTGAAATATGTACATACCAGAGTTGAAATGTGAAATGTTTCATTTGTTGTTTGTTTTCTATTTGGTTAGGTTTTTATTTTTTTAGCATACAAAACTATAAGATTATATAGTTACAAATCACTAAACATTTACCAAAAAGTAAAAAATAAAATAAAATAATTAAATAAAACAAGAAATGTGTTAAGACCTAAATATGGGTAAAAAAATAATGCTTCAATGAGATGCAAAGACACGGGCACAAAATAAATAATTTGCTATTCTTAAATTGAACACAACCCTGTGCAGTGTTTGGTTTTTCTATAAGTGAGAAAAAGAAAGTGAGACTTTGAACTCCTTCATGTTGGCTGCTTGCCCATTTCTATTTTAAGGCATGTCAGTAGAGATCGTAGAAGTCAGCTGTGTTCTCCTTTTACAAGTTTAGTTTCTTTCATATAAAAGCCTCAAGACAATTAATACTATAGAAGTGATATCAAATCCCCTTTCAAAGTGGAGGTAGAGTCTTCTTACCTTAAAAGACTGACTAAAATAATACATACAGTGGTACAGTGGTGAATTATGTGATTAGAGCATGTCAAGGTAAAACATTGCGAGCAACAAACTTGTCTTTTTCATGTGTACCATTGAGAAGTGCACATAACTCAATGGTGATAAAATGAGAAAAAAACATGTGGCTGGCCCGTACGGGGATCGAACCCGCGACCTTGGCGTTATTAGCACCACGCTCTAACCAACTGAGCTAACCGGCCATGCAACAGCTGATCATCATGTGCTTTTTTGAACATCATTGCTGAGATTGTGTGAGACTTCCTGTATTTGGAGAACAGAAAGTGAAAGTCCACAGAACTCAGAACTGACAACTCCTCTCTGACGGTAAGTTTTACACGTCGTGTTTTTAATGAATCTTGGACCATTAAACAGCACAAAGGTCTAAAATATGTTGGTTTATATTGCTTATTTTAAACTATAGGGCCTCATAGAATGTCATGTTTAAAAGCTGTAACTTTAGCCAGATATTTCTAGAAGACAGTTCAAAGTAAAACTGTACCTAAGTTGCTGCCGTGTCAAGTCTTTTAATCCATCTTGTCCTCAAGTGGAGAATTTTGTGCCTGACAAAAATAAAATCTTTATGTAAAATTAGAATCTAGTCTAGTATCTTAAACAATGATATTCTCATAATCATTTCTTATCTGTACTCATTCCTCACAGATTAGTTGTTCTTCAAGGACCTGAACAGAGAACCAAATGTCAGTGCAGTTTTTTGGCTGGGAGGTGGTCTACGACGATGACTCTCCTCGTTTGGAGCTGGGGGCCTCCCAGGAGCCCAAAGATCGGGGCGTCTACACCATGTACCATGGCACCAGTGTTACTAATGCACGTCTCATCATTGCCGACGGCTTTCGGCAGTCAACCAAAGGCATGCTGGGAAGTGGCGTGTACGTGAGTCGCGACAGGAAAAAAGCTGAGCGCTATCCTCTGAACAGTCCTTCGGATCGCGTGGTGCTGAAGCTGCACGTCCGTGTTGGCCGCGTCAAACGTATAGACACGGACAACCACCCCATGCAGTACACCTGGAACGCGCAGGGCTACGACACTGCCTGGGTGCCCCCTAACTGCGGGATGAAAGCCGTGCCCAGCGGCCTGGAAGAAGACTGCGTGTTCGACCCAAAGAGAGTGAAAGTGGTGGGCATCGCGAAGGCACCGGAGACCGTTCTAGTAGAGCTGAATCAGCTCGTAGCCAGCGGTCAGAAAGACGCCAGCGGGGGCGGTAACAGCGGGGGGTCTGCGGATTTGTGCTCGCTGTGCAAGAGGCGGCAGCAGCAGGGTTCTCCGCATGTCAAGCTACAATGCTGGGGATGTGGGCAAAACATCTGCACACTTATGGTGAAGCATGTCTGTTCAGGGAGATTTTAAACAGGCGCTCATGTTTGAACTGTTCACCTCCATGAGACCAGGTAGAAAATAAAAAGCTGAATTTAACTTTTCAAATGCACAGCTCAGGGCTAAACGTTCCCTTTGTTTACCTTAAATTATTGCATTTTGTGCATTATGTTGAAACAATCACTGTCTTAGCCAAAATTGAGTGTTGTTTACAAAGATTTTTCTGAATTTGAATGTACTTGCTTCTGCAATCTTTAAAATTTTACACTTTACATGCAAGATACAACATGTTTGATCAAAGCCAGCTTATTGTTTTATGAATATTCAGCAAAATGTTTTTATTTCAGCCAGAATGTGGACATGATTCATGTGCATTTTGTGGTAATTTATGTTCACAAAACTGATTTCATTTTCTGAAGACAATGTAAAAAAAAAAAAAACTGCAAAATTAAAACCACGCAAATCAAATAACCTTTTTGATATCAGCCTGAATATGTCTTGATGTGCAATATTTGGCAGAGGCGTTGCATAAAAGATGAATATGCTGGGGCTTTTCGTTGAGGATAATAATCTTAGTTAGTTTTATCATTTCATAAACCAAGTGTCTAATTTCTTCAAAGTGATGTGGATGCAACCTTCAGATTGAAGAAGAGTTAAGCAGAGAGTGAAGCTCGAGCAGTCTTTGATTTCCATTCATTTTGGCATGTTGCAAAAGTACCTGAAAAGAGAGGATATGTTCAGTATCACAGTAAAAGTAAACAACAGGTCTGTTTTAGTTTAACTAAATAAATAGTATATTCATTTCCAACAGTTAAGTATTGGAAATAGGCCAATTAATTAACCCCCTTTTGACTGGTAGCAGTGCCGACATGAGGCTCCTGTATACTCACATTAATGAGCTCCTGGTCATTTTTAGCATGCAAGTGTCTGAGGAGGTACCAACTGGCCACCTGCACCACTGTCTCTGGGACGTCTTCAGATGAAGCATAAACCTGCTTCTCCAGCAGGCGCCTTGTCTCCCTGCGGAGAAAAGACAAATATATGAAGAATAAAACATCAGTAAAAAGCTATGCTACTACGTCTGATATAAAATTTGTAATAATTGCTAAAAACAAGAATAAGTGATGTTTTGAGTTATTTGGTATCCAGATGCAGTTATGCACCAAAAGGAAAATAGTCTTGAAATTACTTTGCAGAAAAAAAAATAAACCTTCGGTATCTACATTAACTGTCTTATTAACGTACTTAAAACAAATTAAAATTAAGATCAGGCTCTGTGAGACAGATTAGCTATAACCTATTTATTTTAGCCCTAATCACAATAGCATTTGATATTTGTTGCAGTGTATGTTTGTGTGTAAGGGGACGCATTTTGCTATGCTAAAAAGCATTTCAGTTTTAAATGCAACTATGGTTGTGTTTATATTTACATTACACATCATTAAATAATGAACGCATTTAGCATCCCGATCTCTGCCTGCAGCAAGATGAGCAGCATGAAGATAAACTGTTCGCGAGATGCTTTCTTGAGGGGAAAAAAGATGCTTAAACAATCTGAAATTAAATGTTCATACAAAACAACTTAAGTACTAATGAAGTACTATAACAAAGCATCAAACTAAATAATTGTGCTTCTTTTACTGTATGTCATGAGGAAACAAATGTGTTGCCAATAAGCAGTAAAAAAGGAGAGCTGTACATCTGGAAGAATTGGGTTGCTAAATATACTAATACAGCTGTAAAGATATAATTACTAGACCATTATTGGTTTAACAGAATCCAAACAACTTTCATCACTGACATGATTTGATCCTGTTTTGTCAACTAGTCTACCTAAAAATAAAGACAAAATCAAAGTTTAATCACACTCAGTCTTGATTTCTTGCATCTTTTCCATACACTCATTCTCATACGTGTGTTTCTCATCCATCAACGTCTACGACAACAACAGCTAATACAGTGCTTTGCTGTATTAAATGTGTGTATCAACAGATTTCAATTATCAGTTTAGGATTATTACCAAGAGCAGCAGAAGTATTGTTGTGATTTAGACCATGTATTGTTCACCCTTTCATTACGATTGGTTTATACATTTTTCTCACTTATATTAGTGAAACTACCTGAACTGGTAGGATTTTTATTTAGTTACAAAATAACTACAACAGGGTAGAAATTGTCGTGTTTTTAGTGCTTAAAAAGCTTCAATGATAAAACTCAAGTAGAAATAAATATTTAAATATTTAAACTTCGGGAACATTGATTTTTTGACATGTGTCAAACCAACAAATTCTAACGCATAGCTTCACTGTGTGTGTGTGTGTGTGTGTGTGTGTGGGCACAGAGCAGAGTGAGATGCACTGACCTAGCACCCATCTTGGTCACAAATTGGAGCAAGGCCTGAAAAAGCAGGGCCATGCGAGATGAACCCAGCTTCAAAACTTCAGTGGTGGCTTCCGTCACCAGATCCTTCCACTCGTTTCCTGGCACACCCGCCTTCAAAGTCAATAACATGCGTCATTGGCTTTACCCACAGTATGTGATCAAAATTACATAATTACAGACATCTAATAAAATACAGTATTATTAACAAAAAATAAAGAGATTTGCAGTCTTAGCTGCTGATTCTACATTTAATAGCAAGATATTTCCTCATCCGTCACTACTTTGCTTATCCCCACCTGACATGTAAATGATGTTGCAGAAGGGAGCTGCCTCTGATTTTATGCATCCGAAATGTAGGTTGTAACTCTGACATCATTCAAAAGCAAAACTACTCCTTTATATTAAAACATAACTATGAAAAAAAGCTATAAACACTTTTTTTCTCTAATGTTTTTATTTTCGCTGTAATTGTGCGCTTGGCTATTACAGCTGCACCTACTGACAATGACATTTCCTCACCATGCAGGGTCCCAAGGCTAGCAGAGCAAGTCGGAGCAGGCTGGAGACCTGGTAGCTGTGCACGCCAAGCTGCAGGGCTAGCTGCAGACTCTGCCTGTACGCCAGGACAGCCTGAACCAGCAGGCCCTGGCTCCGATACACCTCAGCCAGCCACTACAGGGGAGGAGAGCAGGAAAGGACTTGTACAATTAAATCTAAAACAGATGGGAAAGTGGGGATTTTGCAGAGTAAAGAGAGGGCGGGAAAACAAAATAAAACAAAGCTAATGCAAACTCAATCTGATCTAAATCTACAGTGTCACTTTAATAAAGATGGTAACAACTAATTTTGTTTTTTGTATGTTACTGTTAGAAAATGTCAAAAAACTGAATGCCAGAAATAAGACTCAGTAGAAATTAATACATTTAAAAACCCTAACAGCAGTAATGTGGATAAATCTGATTTTACAGGATGAAATATAAAACTGCAAGATTGCTCCTTTGCAGGGAGTAGTTGATTGATGGTTACTGAAAAAAAAAAGAAATTAAAATATGAGGGCAATTCTCAGTCGATGCAAAAAAGGAAAAGCTATGGCAGTTTTGTGGCACATAACCTTAGTATTTAAACAAGACTGTGAGAATGCTTTCAGGCCTTGTGAGTTTTGGGATTTAACACAACATAATTAATGTGTGTTAAAAGTGTCTTTAGGAATTTGAACTATTAAACACAGGAGCCTGTGATTTAAAAGGAGTGCAAGCTGTATTTAAAAAGGATGCTGTTTTTACTTACATGCCACGCTCCAAGGTTAGCAGGGTTCATGGCTACAGCTTTGTTGAGCTGCTCCAGGACAGAGTCTGGCAGGACAGTACCACCATCAGCCATGAGGAGGCGCTGACACTGAACCTGTCTCAGCAACAGCATCACTGCTGGGTGTTCAGGGGACACGTTTAGGACCTAAGG